GACGATAATGTAGTTGCCACAAAATCATTTCTCATAGCTGGTGAAATTAACTTCAACCACTGACATATTGATTTTCTATAGCAGGAATCAACATGCCTCAGTTTGTGCAGAGCAGTGACCACAGGAGCACCACCACTGTCCTGAGGTACAGTATATTTTGTTTGCAATGGTCCTGTTGCCTGAAGTCTCTTCCTCCATCTTACAAATCTCCTCTTTCTTCAGATTTAGCGTCTTGTCTGTTTACTCCAGTTCAGATAAATACGGTCAACCATCAAAGTGAAATGACTTGCCCTAAATAGTCCAGGGGGTAATGGGCCATTGCATTTAGCTTAGAGTTTCCTTTGACACAGTATAACTGCGGTGGAAGTCAGCCTCACACATGTAAACAAACCAGCATGCACAGATGAATATAGGTCAGCTGGGCAAGTTGCCTCATTCCTTGTTTCCTTGAAGTAGAGGTGGCAAGTGCTGTTAGTTGGCACAGTCCATGGAACCACAATAACCACATGAATGGGAAATGTGCTAGGTTGAAATACATTAGAATGATCTTTTAAAGCTGCTTCAGTGAGTATTTTTGTATTAACTATATATCAAATGACTGCATGTGAGGTGAAAGTAGTATCACACAAAGTGACACTCATCTCTGTCTATCCCACAGTAATGTTTATGTTACCAACAACATATGATTATGTTGGGTAACAGGGCACATCCTAGACAGGTCATCAATCTGTCACAGGTCTGACACATACAGACAAACAGCCCTTCATACTCACATTCATTTGGAGAAGAAGAAGAAGAAGAAAAAGGAACAGGGAGAACATGAAACATTTCACACAGAAAAAAACCCTCCAGTTGTTTCCATTGCCACCAGGTTAATACAGCCTAAAGGGACTCACTCTAAAACTTAAATAAGCTCTTATTGTCACCATTCCCACGAAAAAAGACAAAAACAACCAAGTGATCCAACTTGCAAAACAAAGCCTGAGGTATTTTATTCACCACAGAGCCATAGAGCTACCCAAAAAACCTTTCTTTCATTTAAAATAAATTATCTAAAATAATTTTCAGAACACAAACTGCAGTTACCTGCTGCAGCAGCAACAGGGGAGAGCTCAGAGACTCTACAACCTGCCAGAGGAAATCCGGCAGGCTGAGTTTGTAGCTTCTTTTAAATCAAAGCTTAGAACATACTTTCATTTTTATTATTATTATGATGATTATTATTATTAGAACAGCATCACTTGTATTGTTTTCACAAGGTGTTCAAATGTCTGTCCGACAAACAACACTACCGCATCTCCAGGACTGATTTCATCATAATCTCCTTGTTCAGACCTGGTATTAACATCATCCTGTGTGATATGATTATAAGTAGTCGGTGCTAAGTACAGGTCGGTCTGAATGCATCCAAATGTGTCCTGAGATCTGATCACTTAAGACACATGTGTAGGTGGTCTGGGACACATGTGGCCACATTCTTTTCACTGAGTGAACATAATTACGTCCACATATGAGGGACACATGCACATACACATAAGCCGTATTTCAATTCGGGGGCTGCATTTTAAGACAGATGGCGTCACAGCGACAAGACAAGACTGTCCCATTTGGAAGGCCACTTTAAACGCTGCAGACAAATGTGTCCTTCCATCCCTGAAAAAACGAAGGCTCCAGCGGGTGCATCCCTCCTGGCCCATCCGATTCCAGGATTCATTGAGGTAATGGCGCCAGCAAGCCACAAGGTGTCCAATGCTTGAGCAAACAGTTACACTAAATATTATTTAAAAAGGGACATTTTCTTGTCTTTTCCAACTACAGCTCTGTTGCTAGGCAACAGCAATAAGGGAGGGATGAGCTGGTGATGTCGACCATGGAAATCCTCCGCAGACCAGAGACAGACAGTCTCTTTTCAGTAAGGGCTTTGTGGTCACAGCCCGCGAAGGAGGCGGAGTTCATGGGCCGGATAGACCACGTCCTCCGCAGGATGCAGCCCCCGGATAGAGACACACAGGCCTGTTGTCATGGACTTCCATAATTCCATCCATGTGACACAATGACATGCAAAGTCAACAATCAATGGCTCAGTGGAGATGAGAGGCAACAAAGGTAAATTATACATTTTCAAATTTACATTGAGTGGCTTAACCAACTATGTTACTGACCCTCCCCACAAATGTCTCCACGTACTGCACCACACAGCAATAAGGTGACAATGCTTTGTTTGCTTTCTCCTCCATGACACTTTACTTCTGGTCCTGCACATACAGCTACGCATCTATCTTAGAATGAAGGAAGCTTGTGAGCGGAGTGGAACCTTCACACAAGGCAAGTTTGTAAAATGACTTCCCTCTTGTCCACATGTCAGGGGGTCTGTGCAGCTCAAACAGTGTCTTTCCTCTGTTCCGTGGAAATCACGATCAGGCAGAAGATGTGTACTTGACTTGAGTAAATCATTTACAGTTTTATTTATTTTACTCTTCCATGATGTGTGTAAGGTGTAAAGCCTCTGTTCTATTATTTTTGTATCTTCAGTGATAGTATTGCTCATTACAGTCGAGGACTTTCACTGTCCGCCTCGCCCATATAAATGTTGATAGACGTAATGGAAAGAATTCAGAGAGGAGGAAACTGTTCCTGAAAAAATAAAATCCTCCGCGCCATTTCCTCTGACAGGAAATTGTGTCTTTGATCTAAGCCACCATGCTCATCTGGTCGTCGTATGTCATGTGTCACTCTTTCCTAGGGCGCGGAGTGGGAAATTTGCTATTGCCACCCTGGCTCATACAGGAGTGAATGTCACAGACACACACACACACACACACACA